ATATCTTCGAGTACTGTGTGGGCGCATGTCGCCAGTTTGCTGTATCGCTGTTTGCATGCATGATGAAGTGTGAATAAGCCGAGTCTGATTGCACTTGTAGTCTTTTGGCTTGTGCAGAGGGGATGTAGCCTTTTTCTCCGCAGACGGATCGTCTGATTCGTCTGTACTTGTCCCCACTCCCATGCCCACTATTTTTCCACTTCTCCTACTCTGTGAGTCTGTATGGTTGTTGGATACTTTGTGGGAGACATATTGGAACTGTGGTAAAAAAATAAAATAAAAAAAAAGGAACTGTGGTAAGGATTGTGCCCAACGCAAGTCGTTCTTTTGCACAACCGCAAGACCTGTGTTACCAGCCGGGCAGCCCGGGTTGCCTCAGATTGGCCCGGGTGGCCCGGCCAGGCCAGATCCGGGCAAACTTCTGGTCAAGGTCCCGGGCAGTCCCAGAGCATAAATAAATAAATAAGGGGCAAGTACGTTTGTAAAGGGCAAACGAAACAATAATGGGCAATGAAAAAAAGGCCGTAGTTCGAAAAGGCAGTCATAACATTACAAGGCGGTAACATCAGGCCCCAAGTTTGAAAAGGCAGAAATATCGTTTTTCGTGGCCGCTTTTTTTTTTTTTTTTTTTTTGCTCGCGCCGCGCCGCGCTGTGCCGCGCGGAGCAGGAAGGAAAAAAAAAAAAAAAAAAAACAAAACCACAGCCCTATTGTCGGGCCACGGCCGTTGGGTGTGCTCGAGACATCTGGGGCATGGACAATCTGGGGTGTGGCTGGCCAAGACATCTCGGCCGTGGCCAATCTGGGGTGTGGCCGAGACATCTCTGCCGTCGCCAATCTGCGGTGGGGCCAAGACATCTCGGCCGCGGCCAATCTAGGGTGTGGCCGAGACATCTCGGCCGTGGCCCAACCATGGGGCCGAGTTTTGTCGAGCCTGGGTCCCATTGTACTCTTTTCTGGTACTCTACAGAAAAGAAACAAAAGAAAACAAGAAAACGAAATAAAAAAGAAAAAAAAAACGCAACTGCTGTACAGTGGACGTTAGAGCAGTTGGAGCCCTCGTCGTTGCAAGTGTCAGCTCTCCGTGGAAAGCGCAGGTAAGAAAAACGCACAAAAAAAAAACACACAAAGAAAAAGGATGAAACAAGGTGGGATTCTGGCGAGATGCATTCCTGGAGGCACTACTGGCAAGTATCAGCTGTCCGTCTTTTGTTTTGTCGTCTGCACGTCTGTTTTCCGTGGAAAACGCTCTGCTCGTTGGCAGGGCACGAAATCAAGTGTCGGCAGCAAAAAAAAAAGACAGCACAACAAGGAACGAACCTAGCTAATAATCTGGGCAGATGCATTCGTGGAAACGGCCTACGAAAAGCCGATATTTCCGCCTTTTTCGAACTATCTTCATTGCCCATTAGTGTTATGTCTGCCTTTTCGAACTACGGCCATTTTTTCGTTGCCCATTAGTGTTTTTTTTGCCTTTACAGTTTGAAAGTGTGCTACTACCGCACTTGTTTCAATAAATAAATAAATAAATAAATAAAAATTAAAAAATCTGAAAAAAAAACTATGTCATGCAGAATTGCAAACCAAACATCTTTGCTGAGGTGTGGGAAAAAAAAAAAAAAAAAAAACTAAATATATCATACCTCTTTACGCCCCTTCGAGCCCTTTGGAACCCGGCTTATACCCCATGGACACCCTTTGGTGAGATATCACCAAGCTCAAAGATAAGGCCGGATTTGGGGACGCCTCAGTGGGCACAAAATTGCCCAGCTGCCAACGTGGGTCCCGGATGTAATGTTTTGCATTTATCGTGGCGCGGTCTGTTGGGGTGGGATGCCATCATGCCGGTGGTTGTCTATGCCTTTTTTTTTTGGCAAAATCATCCCGTCTAAGGAAGAAGAAGGAGAAGTAAAAAAAAAAAAAAAAAGGCAACGTCAATGCAGGTTTTTTGTGGGATGGTATCATGGTAGCACCGTAGCAGTTGCCAATGCCTTTATTTTTCTTTTTTCCCTTTATTTTTTTTCCCTTTGTTTTGCACAAATTTGCAGTCTTCACGGTTTGGTTTTGCCGGTGCTCACACGCACGTGCGGCGTGCGCTGTGTTCCGTTTTTGCTTTGTTTCGTTATGCTTTGCGTGTGGTGACACACACATGCACAGGCACACCCACACACACACACACACACGCACACACACACACACACACACACACACACACACACACACACACATCATT